CCCCTCCCCATTTATGCTCCATAAAAATAGCCATTTATTCACCATTAAAACCTCCATTTATGCTCCAGGAAACTGTTGGCCAAATTCCTCCAAAATTCATAAAGTCTGTTTCGGTTTTTGTTTTAAACATAGAGCACTTGGATTTCTTCCTAACGACGTTACCTTCGGGACACCCCTGGAAAGGCTCCTCCCCCGAGGAATTGCAGGCTGGAACGGGAGCGACGCTCACCATCCTCTGGGAATGTCGCCGCACTGCGTTGCTCCTAGTGCCACCGACACAGCTGGGATCATTTCCTGGATTTTAAGTGCAGCCGCCGAATTTTGATCTGGGCGCAGAAACCTGGGAAGCGCTGCAAGAAAAGCAGAGACAGGGAATATTTATCCTAGCSCTTGGAGGCTCCTCAGCGCGGGGGTCACCTGCGTGCTCCCTGAGGCGGCGGCGGCGCCCGCGAATCGCCTCCCGCMGGGCAGGAGCAGCGGGGATTGCTCCCGCCGATCCTGGGGGTGATTCCCGGTGCTTCCCAGCGCTCCTGGTTTCCATCCCGAGGGTCCCTCCCGGCCCAGCCCGCCCTCACCCCGCCGCCGCTGCCGGTCCCGCCCGAGAGCGCCGTGGCGGCCGCAGCGCCTCAGCGCCGCCGCCATTTTGAGTGCGGGCAGGGCCTTCCCGCAGAACGGGGAAAAACCCTTTAACCCCCCCAATCCCACCTTAAATCAACCCCAATCCGCAAAAACCTCTCCCAAAACGACACGTTTTGAGAACAGTTTGTTTTCGCGCTTTCAAAAAGCCGGGTTTAATCAGATTGAAGCATCTCAGTGGCCGCCAGTGGTATTTTAAATGTTGCCCAGTTTGCTGTGGCGGCTCCTTGGCCTCTCCCAGTTTGGATACTGGGATATACACGTGGAATATCCACAATGGATACTGGGAGATCAGTGCTACAGTTGAGAGAAGTGTTTATAGAAACAGAGAGGTGTTTATAAAGCTCTGAACTTCAGTGGGTAAAWTGGGAAAAGCACAGGGTCTCCCCATTTCCTGCTGGTGATCATGTATTCCTGCCTTTTATTGCATAAAATAATTTTAAATTGGGCTGCCAAGTATTTCCAATCTTTTTTTTCCCAAGATAAATTCCTCTGAAGCATTTTTTTCTACTTAAGTGCAGGTTTTAGTCTTCGTATTTTAACAGCTTGTAAAAATGTTGGATGACTGTAATTCCCTGAGGACATGTAAAATAAATTCCTTCATAAAAAATAAATCAGGAGAAGGCAGACATCTGTGTTATCCACCTTTCTCTTTTATATGTTTTCAGTCCTGATTATTTTGTTGGGAGCCAGGGAATGTTTCTATCATCCAGACCTGCCTCTCGGAGTGGGGAGAGTGCGCAGCAATATGAGTGATCCATGGTGGAAAATGTCAGGATAATATTCCTGTATCCTCACACCAGGGAATGGTGTTTGCTTTTCCTCAATTGGRAAACCAGCATGCTTGGCAGCTCTCACTCAGAGGAGCTGGGAGGCTCCCAGCGAATTGAGTCTGGATTCCACTAGGATGGAGGGAATTTTGGGAGAAGCTGGCGCTGCCAGGTTGTATCCATGTGTCCATCCCGGAGGGATTGTCCTGAGGCTGGATTTCAAGCCACCCTTTGTCACCAGTTTGGTTTCTCAGGAGATTCTCCGAATGTTTTGGGTGCTGRGATGCATTTCTGGGGCTCCCTAGAACTCATGGAATTCTCCATGTCTCTTGTATAGGGAACAAGAAGGAAGAGCATTGTGGCTGCTCTCTCCCAATCATTAATTTTGGGATTTCAGCAGGAGGGTTGAAACGTGTGGAAGGCAGCCAAGAGATGTCCAAATCCCCTCGGGCCAAGGAAGATGCTGATCCCGGGAGTCCTGTGCTGGGTGAAGCATTCCAGACACTGGGATGGCAAAATAAAACACCCTGTTTAGCCAGAACAACAAAATCCAGGGAAGAATCACAGCCTGGGAATTCAGATTTTATCTGAGAGCTTAGGTGGGGAGTGGAGAAATACCTCGGTCTTTGRTCATTACTAACACTGGGAAAAGGGGGAAAATGGGGAGTCAGCTCAGCCAGTCCGGTCCTGCTCCTGCCCTGTCGGATATTGGAGGCTCAAGGTCAGCCAGGACATGTCCAGCAAAGCAAGGGAGGGAAATGTCCCCACATCCCAGGTTTCTTCCCTCCGGAGCATGGCAGGAAGCGGTGCCAGGGTGTTGGCAATTTTGACTCTTCCCAGCAAAGCTGGGGTATGTTTTGGAGCCCCCCAAGGAAATGTGGTGTGTTTTCCCTGGATGTATATCCTTTCCTTACTGCTCCAGCAGAGGATGCTGCAGCCTTCGGAACGAGCGGCTGGGACTGCAGCCCTGCTCATCCTCCGGTSGGGAGGAATCTGACCATGCATATCAACCATGGCACTGCAGAGAAGGCTCCCAAGGAGCCAGGCACTCCTCCGGATCGCCCCCCAAACAGAGATGGAGCTTTCAGCATGGGCTAAAACCACAAATTCCAGACAAAATCCCGATGGAAAGCACAGAGCAGGCCCTTGCTCCGTGTGTCAGCAGTGAGCACTGCTTAGCTTCTCGTCCTGATCTCCATAAGGAATTTTGGCATGGGATCATGCTACAAATCAAACATCCCACAGTTTCTCCCCCTCACGTTCAGCCTCAGGAAGCAGGAGTTATGTATAYCCTTGCAAAACACTTCCAAGATCCTGGTGTCACTTGAAAAACACGGGAATTGAGTAAAATCTGGTGTTTGTGCTTTGTCTGAAAAAGGAGATTTTAGATCCTTATAAGCAGCAAAACTTAATTCCCATCAAAGTTCTGGTGGAAAAAACCTCGACACCAGAGCAGACAAGACAGAATAGGAGAAGACTTTTGAGATCATTGAGTCCAACTATCAAATTCCAACATTATGGAATGGTTAGAGTTGGAAGGGAGTTTAAAGCCCATCCAGTCCCACTCCCTGCCATGGGCAGGGACACCTTCCACTATCCCAGRTTGCTTCAAGCCSCATCCAAACTGGCCTTGGACACTCCCAGGGATGGGTCAGCTGCAGTTSCTCTGGGAAAACACTGCCAGGGCCTCACCACACTCACAATATCCACTCCTTCCCAATATCCCATCTGTCCCTGCCCTCTGGTAGTGGGAAACCATTCCCTCATGTCTCATTGCTCCAAGTCCTTGGATATAGTTTCTCTCCATGTTTCTTTTAGCTCCTTCAGGTCCTAGAATGCCATAATTGGGTCATCCCAAAGCTTCTCCAGGCTGAGCACTTGAAGCCTTGGAAGACCGATGACTTTAACGGATCAAAATGATAAATAAATAAACTATAATTAAATYGGAAATAAAGGAAATAGAAATGAATTTAAAGCCTTTTTCACGCCTCCTTGTTCCCTTGGATTATTGAGCCAACACTTCAGATATCAACTCCATATTCCTGATGTTTGGACACATCCAGGAGTCACTGGAAGGGCTCCCACTGAAGTCAAGACCCCAATTTGGAAAGGTCTCTCCGGAACAAACTCGGAGCCAGCTCAGCACTGCCCTGGGCATGAAGGCGCCTGGGATTTTGGCTCCAGGCTGTGGATTCCGGACATTCCCATCTCATTTTTCTCGGGAGCTCATTCCTGCKTGGCGGCGTTGGCGATAGGATGTATTCCCACAACTGCAGGGGAAGAGGGAGTGGGGCTGGGTTTGGGTTTGGGTTCATTCCCTGCAATCCTGACCCCACACTCCTGACAAGTGACGTGTTAGGGCGATGGAAATCCAAATTCCGGGAGTGTATCCATGACGTTTTCCTTTTGGCACTAAATAAATCTTCGGCACAGCTCATTTGCTTGTTTATCACACATTTTTAGGCTGTTGGTACATTTTCTTTCCCTTCTTCWCCCAAAAATATTTTAACCCGTGCTAAACCCTGGGCATCAAACCCAGAAGTTACCTCTGGAGGTGAAGGATTTTCCATCACATTCCAGGGAACATTGGAATCTGATCCATGTATTTTTAACTCCTTAACTCTCCCAGTCAAGGCCAAATTTAATTTTAATTGAGTTTTAATTGATTTTTAAATAGTTGAATTTAAATGGTTGAGTCTGGGGGTTGTGGAATATCCTAAAGATCTCCTTTTTCCTTCCAGGATCTGGAAAACAGGTGGATAATGTTTAGTCTCTGGCTAAAGGACAGGATGTTAATGCTTTTCCCTCTTGGAAAGGATCTGCCTCCTGTTTAGTTACAATTCAATATAAAACAAATATTCCATCAGCAAAAGGAGAAGGGGGGAAAAACATCCTTTCTTATTTTCCCTCCCTCCTCCACAGGTCCCTTCCAACTCAATTTTCTGGGATAAGGTCGTACGGAATGCAGAGGATCCGAGGAAATCAATTCAGATTAGCACCTTGCTCCTAGCCAAAAGAAATCCAGCAAAACAGCCCCCAAAGTTATTCCTAATGGCAGAAAAAGAGGGAATTCTTGCCAGATTTACACTCCTGATGTTCCAAGACKCCGATTAAAAGAGCTGCTGATTTCATGGAGGTGATTCCGGACAAATTCCAGCTGATCCCAGCTGTTCACCAGGGAAWATGCTAAGGAAAATAAATCTAAATACATCAGGTGAAGTGTTATTTTTCCAACAGCTGGCTGTGTTTTTCCATTGATTCTCAGGAAGCAGCATTCCCTCACAAGATCTCAAACTTCTCGTCCTCCTACAGAAGCCTCTTGACTTTTAGCCACCGGAGTTATCCCAGTTGTTTTTTTTTTTAATGTAAATACTGTCTTCCCAGCAATAATATTTTTCACTCCGTGATTATTTTTCTTTAATGCTGAGCGCTCACCGTGGTTTGCAAATCCAAATTATTTGGAAAAAAATGGGAATGTCGGTTTCCYTCTGTGTCCTGAGCTCGAGTGTTTTCAGGGAGTGTATTCCTGCCTCCATGTGCTCCTGCAGGGATGAGAAAATGCCCTTTTTTAGGCCGAATTTGGATGTGGTTTCTTGGGAATCACTGAACATGGAAGGAGCAGCTGCCTGGAGAAACAAACACCTGGCAAAATATTTTGGGGAATTTCAGGATGAGTCATCCGCTGCCTGTTGGGGAAGCTCAGCCCCAGCTGCAGCTCAGGAGGCTGCCTTTAGTCCCACAGAATCCCATGGAATTATTCAGGTTGGGAAAGACTAACAGGATCATTGAGTCCAACCTGYYACCCAGGCCAGGAKTGCCACATCCAGGCATTCCTTGGACACTTCCAGGGATGGGCACTCCAAACCTCCCTGGACAATTCCAATCCCTGACAACCCATTCCATGAAGAAATTCCCATCTGCCTTCATCTCTTATTCCATCTTTGCTCCTTGGAGAAGGTCCACGCCAAGATCCATCCCCATTCCTGTGAAAGCCAATGGAACATCAGGAACTCATTCCAAGCCACAGCTTGGGTTGAGCAGAATGTCCAAGCTCATTAAAATCCCAATTAATTCTCYTTTTATCCATCCATATTTGTTCCCAGCACGGTCATTAGGCACAGAAAAGGAGCAGGGAGGGAGGTTTCATGCTGGAAGTACCYAAATTG